AATCAGTGGAACAGCTTGCCTACAGAAACAGTAAATGATCCAACACTGGAAGTCTTTAAGAAGATGTTGGATAGCTATTTGTCTGAAGTGGTGTAGGTTTTTCTGCCTAAGCAAGGGGTTGGACTAGAAGACCTCCAAGGTCCCTTCCAACTCTGCTATTCTATATGAAGACCGGTAGCTGGAATTGGGCATGGCTAGTCTAGTGAAGAGAAGGAACAGGGGAGACATGATAGCAGTCTTCCAATATCTCAGGGGCTGCCCCAAAGAAGAGGGAGTCAAACTATTCTCCAAGGCACCTGAGAGCAGAACAAGAAGCAATGGGTGGAAACTAATCAAGGACAGAAGCAACCTAGAACCAAGGAGAAATTTCCGGACAGTCAGAACAATTAATCAGTGGAACAACTTGCCTCCAGAAGCTGTGGATGCTCCATCACTGCAGGTTTTTAAGAATAGACTGGATACCCATTTGTCCAGAATAGTATAGGATCTCCTGCTTCAGGGTTGGACTAGAAGACCTCCAAGATCCCTCCTAACTCTCTTATTCTGCCACGTGTAAAAAAATTCCCCAAACAAATCCGGATAATGGGATTTACTCGCATCTCTTCTACCAACGCCACCAGCCACTTCAATCTTGGATCCAGAATTCGGGACATCTGGATGCAAAATGTTTTACCCCTCCGAGCTCGCGCAACGCACAAAGCGGGTATCCTTCAGCCTGACAGGGGGAACTAACCAGCGCCGCAGGCTGGCTCTGAATTCTTTCTAAATATATATATGTGGCCTTTTTGTCCTCTGCAAAGAATGCGGGAGACATTCCCAAGGCCGCCTGAACGGAGGAGCAGACGTCGTCTTCTCTCCATGGGGAAGTGAGTGAAATCTGTAAGGGGATCTTCCATCGCTTTTATGAAGGCCTGCCTTGAGCGAGACCACGGTTTGATGGGGGGGACGGAGAATTACGCACCACAATCTCCGCTTCTATTTTTAGGAAAAGGGAGCCGCCCTGCTCTGTGGCCGAGACGGATTTGAATCCAGGGGTTTGTTTTATTTTGTAAATGCTTCCACCGCAACGGATGCATTAAAGGTGGGTGGAACGGCACGGGGTGCGGAGTGGGGGCAGAGAAGGCAAGGGGAGAGGCCTGCATCTTTCACTTGCCAGCCACCAGAAATTGGGGTGTAACCTAGTGGATGAAGCACCACTAAATTGGGTTTCCTTCCCAGAGTATGGATGGGTAAGATGCCAGTGGGCACCCCCTGGACCATCAGCGTGGGAAAGTCCCCCAAGCCAGCAGAGGGGCCCTTGGCCCATAAACCCCCCTAACCAGCCATCAAGAGCCGAGGTGGCGCAGTGGTTAGGGTGCAGAACNTAGATATAGATAGATATAGATGATATAGATATAGATATATAGAATGAAGAAAAAAGATGTATGAATTAATATAAATGCACATGTATGTAGTTATAGTTATACAGGACTAATATATGTACAGATAAAAGAATCAAAACAGATATGTAAAAGAAGAAGTGTAGTTGTGTGTTGCAAAGATGTGAAGTTTGCAAAAACAAAATAAAAAGCTTTTTTTTTTAAAAAAAGGATATTGTATACATATTAAGAAGAAATTAAAGAAGAGAAAACCAGATGGCTGAAATGTGAAATGCAAATACGATGTAAAATGAACTGTGTATAACAGAAGATGTAAAATGGGAAACCTCGGACAACACTTTGTTTATCAAAGAAATTAAAATATGTAATGAAAAACAAAACAAAAAAAACTTTGTTTCAACAACAACAAAAAAGAACCTAAGAGCTTTCAAACGCGGCGACTTTGGGAGAAACACTGCTCCACCCATAACCACCCGGATCTCAATTTATCTCCTGCTCACCCTCAACCAGAACATCTTCTAAATTGGGTGTTTTCTCAATATTACACAATGTTCTCAATTGTTCTGGCCCATCTCGTGTTACGTGACAGCAAATCGAACAGGCGTTTTGCCTTTGCAAGCCTTGAACACAGCAGTCAACCATCTGGAGATCTTATCACAGATCTAATCACAGATCCAATTATTGCCCGAGCGCTACCTGCATCCATCCCTCTATAAACAAAAGCCAAATTTTGGGGTCAAGAGAAGATTTGTCCTGGCAGAGGCTAAAACATACGAAGAACAGTTGCAGGAATTGGATATGTCTAGTTTAATGAAAAGAAGGACTAGGGTAGACATGATAGCAGTGTTCTAATATCTCAGAGGCTCCCCCAAAGAAGAGGGAGTCAAGCTATTCTCCAAGGCACTTGAGTGCAGNATTTCACCCACCTTGGAAGGATGGAAGGCTGAGTCAGCCGGTGAGATTTGAACCGCCGAACTGCAGCTAACAGTCAGCTGAAGTGGCCTGCAGTACTGCACCCTAACCACTGTGCCACCTCAGCTCTACCCACTTCTCTAGGTCAAAGCCATTGGCAGTTTGCACGCTAAGCTCAAACTGCACAGACCACAAAGCTAATGGCTTATGATTTTGTAACTTCAGCGGTGTCACCTTCCCCGAAGACCACCTGTCCCTTACCTGCGGTGACGGTGTCTTTGTCCTTGGCCGTCATCTCCTCCACTTCGGACCTCCTCCGGAGCTCAAACCTTCGAGAGAAACCTTCCCGCGGCTTCCAAAGGTCCTGGATCACGAGCGGCTTCTCGTGGTCCCTCAGGATTCTCAGCCCTTCCATCTTCCACTGCTTCTCCGAGCCAGCGAAGGTCCCGACCACGTCGCAGAGGACGTAATGGCCCACATCTACCCTGCTGAGCCCATACCTCTCAAGGGCTTCTTTCAACAGCTCTCGGGCACTTGAGCTTCCGGTGGCCAAGACACTTTTGTAATGGGTGCCTACAGAGATGTGACATCCAAAGATCTTGAGAACTCCAGGAGCCGAAACTTGGGTGGAGAGCTCAGATGGGTCCTCCTTGTTCGCCCCCAAATAACCAGCCAGCGAGCCGCGGTCCTTGTAGCTCAGCGTCCGATACAAGACCTGGGAGAATATCCGACTTTGCCGCTTGAATCGGTTTTTGGAGGGCGGCGACATGGTTGAAGGTGACCTGTAGAACATCACGGAGGAGGCCGTCATGGGTCGTGGCTGGACAGAAAGAAAGGAGAGTTGTGAATGTGATGTCAGGAGGCCAGAAATAAGAGACACATGGCTGACAAGGCAACAAAGATATTCACACAATTTAATGTCACAACCGGCTCGTCACAAGAGACCATCCAGACAGAGCTGGATGAGGAGCTGACGAGCCGATAGACAGAGAAAGGAAGCAGTAGACTTCCTCCCATATTTGGGCATACCAGGGGTTGTGACACTAAATACACACCTATTTCCCTGGCTCAGCTGATAAAGGAGGAGAACCTTGTGACTTAGTGGTTAACACATCTGCCTAAGATGCAATACAGCCCAGGTTCGAATCCCAGTAAGGGTATGGCTAGCTGATGAGAGCTAAATAGCTTNGACGACGACGACGACGACGACTGTGGGGTCCTTGGTGGTCTCTGATCTTGGTTGTTTTCTTGCAGATGTTTCATGACCCAACCAGGTAACCTCATCAGAGGTTAGATAATGGATCACCTGCAAGAAAACCACCAGCATTTTTAACGCTTTTCCAGCAATGTGGCAAGATTGTGATGCTTTGAGGGAGCAAGCAAATATGGTTTAATTTAGGCATGCTTTCTTTCTGGCATTATTACAGGGGTGATAATTGCCTGCTGCTCGCTTTTCTAAAAATTGCCGGGCTGATGTTTCTTTAGCGCTTTGGGCCACTTTAAGCGGGGGTTGGGGGTTGGGGGAGGCGTTGTACTCTGTATCCCACTGTGCTAATTGCGCCTGAAGCAGCCGGATCCATCATGGTAGGACAAAAGTGGGGGACTAGAAACGTTAAAAAAGAAATGCTAAGAATTGAACGCGACTCTCTCCAACCCTCCGGGGGCGTTGGAGCAAAATCTCAACATTCCCAGCGATGATTATGCAGGTTGGAAAACCCAGTGAGACCCAGCTTGGGGAGGAATGGTTGACGGAAGGAGAAGGCAGTGACGAACAGCGTGCGATGTTGAAAAAAGTACAATCGGGTTGTGTGTGTGTTTTTTCCCCCCTCTCCTTGGCCTCAGGATCGTCTCCCGCGCCCTACGACTTTCCCACTCCGGCTTCTTCGAATCGCAGCTCGGCCACCGACGATTTTTGCTACGTCTTCGTGGTGGAGCTGGAAAAGGGGCCCATCGGTTTGGGGATGGGACTGATTGATGGTTTGGTGAGTAGGTCTTCTGGGGCAGGGGTCCCCAACCTTTCAGACCTCGGGGACTATTAAATTCATTGTTTTAAATCCTGCATATTCATTGCACGTATCCGTCCCAGGGGCCGTAGTTTGAGGACCCCCTGATTCAGTGCAATATAAAAAAATTGCAAATAATTTTTCTCCAGACCGCCAAAATTTTCTTGCGGACCACTAGTGGTCCACGGACCACCAGTAGGTGACCACTGTTCTGGGGGATGTGGTATGAAGTCTCTTTCATAATCAAGACGGCAAAGAGTAGCTTTCAGGAGTTGAGTTTGAGTTTATTGGTCTTGTATGCCGCCCACTCCCGAAGGACTCCGGGCGGCTTACAATAAACAAGGGAAGGGGATAAACAAACAAAACAACACTTTAAAATACACAACATTCACAGTTACCGTGGGGCTGGATATTTCACAAGCCCCCCGGCCTTCTGGAGCCAAGGTTGATATGCTCCTGTTTTGACCCCCTCCTCCGTCCAGTAACGAAAGCCGAG